TGTCTATAAAACAACTGTAAATCCTGGCAATCCCTTGCCTCCAAAGACACTGGTACAGCAGGCAGTAGATCCATAAACCGATCTAACACTTTGCTTCGACTCAGCCATCTAACTTCTGCAAGCATTGCCAAGTCACCAGACTGTTTCGTACTCCTCAACTAAAGCTCGAAATTGTCTGTTTCAAGACATTTGCAACAATGAAGTTGATGATTTGTGTGACACTATCCACTGCGCTCTTGAGAAATCCTCTCTTCAGTTTGTTGCATAGCTGTTCTTGGTTTAGAATGCAGTGGGATGAAAAGAAATCTAGAAACGGGATTTTTCTTCAGCAAAGACATTAGCCCCTTTTCCAACCACAGAGGGAGTGCCATCAGTTGTTACCAAAGTAAGCTTCTTCAAATCAATGCATTTTCCTGGTCCTTCAAAAAATGCCATCAGCGCAGAGTCAATGTCCTCTCCCCAGTTTGACCCATCAAAGGTAGCAGAATATGCATTTCTTCAACATGCTTTCTGCCATTGAAGAAACGCACCCAGATTACGAGCTGCGATGAATCTACTGATCGTTCAGACCTGTCCATTGCCAGACTGAAATACTCAGTGCTCTTGATGTCTTTTAGCACTTTAGAAAACAGACCACCTGAAATGTTTTCAGTTTGTCTTACTGCAGTTGAATCAGATACTTGCAGTTTTGATATTTGTTTAACTAGATCCTCTGTTTTTTAAATTCTGCAAAAAGTGATTCGCTGCAGTCCAAGCAGCACTGCTCATCAATTCACCTTCAGTGAAAGGTCTCTTTCATTTTGCAATGTGCCAAGCATTTTGAAGGAGGCTTCTGTAATGGCATCACTGTCTTTAACTTGCAAACAGAACACATCTTGTTGAGTATGGTAACCTTCCAGTAAGGAAGGTATTTGTTTTTCTTAAATTGCTGTCAGGTGGATACAAGTCTTTGAACTCAGAGTGCCAAGATTCATGGTGCCGTTGCAGGTTTGTTTTCTTGAACGCAGCGGCAGTCTCGACAAAGACACATTGGTTTTCCATTTCTCTCTGCAAAAGTGAATTCCATCTCCCAAACAGGGTTGAAAACCTTGTGTTCATCCAACAAGCATCTCTCCTTGGTTGCCATTTTAATGCTTATTAAAACGAAAATTGTAGACCCGTGTTTGGGTTGTTTAGTTTGAAGCTTCAGGTTGTGCGTTTCTTGGAGTGATTTTACTGTAAAAAGAGAAGTTGCCAAGCCAGAACGCTCCAACCTGCAGTGGGCAGGGAGCTGGGTGAGTCAGGCTGGACACAAGAGGCAAAAAAGGACAGGTGCCCCATAGCCACATCCTGGATTCCCAGCAAGGAGTCAGTCACTCTGCAGAACAGAGGCAGGGGTGCCCAGCCGTGCCGCCAGACCCAAACGTAGCCAGGGTGAGTGTAGTGGGGTGGAATGGCCACCCACTGAGCCGGAGGCGGAGGAACCCCTCTGGCGGCCATTTTGGGCCCGGCCTAGCCCCGCCCCCTCACCTGACCGGAAGTCAGGGGGTGGGACTAGGACTATAAGAAGGTTGCCTGGGAGCTCAGTCAGGGCCCAGCCTCCGAGGGAGCCGGAGGCCTGGCTGGAGCTCCTGCCTGGGGAGGCTAAGACCCGGGCTGGGCCGCCCTCAGCCACCTTCCCAGAGGCCGGCCAGGGCCTCCCTGCCCGGGCTACTAAGGCCTGGTCGGGCCCGCCAGCTGAACCACTCGCGGACCCAGAGGACGGGACCGAGCCGCTT